ATAGTGAGCGGATGAAGATTTGGATGTACAATTCTGAAGCTGAACTAAAATGGAAATGATGAGTTGCAAGCATATTGATAGGAATTTAACCTTTGCAACTGGGTGTGGTTGCCCAGCAAAAACTGTAAAATGGGAAAAGACCAGGATTTGGAGCATAACCCACCATGGCTGTGTAAGGATAGGCAAATGCAGAGGAGCCCATACAGCAAGCTGAGAAAGCTGGATCCAAGTTTCAGGAGGAAATGAAAGACAACGTTTATCTTCTCTGTCAAGACTTCATAATTACATACTCTAGGACAGTGGTTCTTCAAACATTAAATGTGTATTAAAATCACCTGGGGTGCTTGCTAAAAATTTGGTTTCCTGAACCCACCTCCAGAGATTCCTACATAGCAAGTGCAGAGCGGTAGCAGTTTCCACATTTTTAACAGGCGTCCAGCATGACTGATGCTAACGTAGGTGATTCCTGAAATGTACCTTGAGAAACACTTTTCTAGGAGTCAGTGAGAAATGGTTGAATAAGCAGGTTGTATGGCCATGAACAAGGTGGTTATTTTTCGGTTTGTTTTCCCATCCGTTCTAGGCGTATAATAAATACTTTCTCTCTCTTAGAATTATTGCAAGATATCTATGAGATATGCTACATTAAATTCCTGGCATACAGAAGAAGGATCTCAGTAAATGTCGGTTGTCTCTTTGGCACTTGAAAAACCCAGAACACAGCTGTAAACCTAAAAGCCAGTGAAAAAGGAGAAGGAAATAGCTATCATTAACCTTATGCATTTTGTTTTGTAAGAGATCAGAGCCAACTGCTTTTTACCTTGAGCCTACTGAATTAGAATTGTGTAAAATTAAGTTACTGATTTAATAGATTTCATTATCTAGGTTTCTCCTGGCAGCCTTCAGTTCTATAGACATTAAATCCGAACAGCATGATATGGGCAAGGTCAAAGTGCGAAACAGAAGCTGAGAGAAATTTAATAGAGGGACTGACACCTCAAAAATCTTGAGGGCATCAAGTATTATAATATAAAAAATAATACTCAAATTAATACTACTGGATCATCAAGAAAATATTAAATTATGTTAAAAAGAATTGTTTTAGAAGTTGGGGAAGTGTATATTTCAGAAAGATTTCCATTATAATTACTGACATTTTAGAGTTTTGGTGCTTAAAGGAACAAGCTTCTGCTCTTTGGGAAGTTCACTTACAGAAAATATTTTATTAGTCTTTTACAGTTCTGGGTAGGTGAACTTATATGACCTTATTCCTCATGTGATTAACATGTTACTGTTTTTAATAATCTTAAGTCAACAGGTAACCTTGAAACTATCCCCGAAGGCACTGCAGAACTACCTTATATGTAAATTATAATGGATTGCCATCAAATGTTGAGGTTTCTTTTTTTTCTCTGTCTAAAAGAGATGCTGATGTGAAGGGAGAAGAGCAGAGTCTTACCATAGCCATATTTTGCCCATTTCATGTTTTGAGCTTCATATCTCCTAATTGGAAATATGGCTACTTTATGGTTGTGGATTTGGCGAAAAGCTATTGAGAAAGAATTATGAATGTCCCTTCATTTTCTTCAAGCTTTCTGGTACTATACCCCTACCCCCACTTGGATATTTATATGATTATTTATCCTCTAATTATCAACAATCAGCTGAATAAGTCTTAGTTTTTAAAATTATTTTTACTTGGTTAAACAACACCTTTTGTTTTGTAGACTTAAGTCTTTCTTTGGAAGAATGAGATTTTCTTCTGTTATATCTTTGATTACTGGCACTTTTGTGTTACTCTTCTTCCAGGACACCCATTTTTGGTTTAGTATTTCTGTCAGTCTTCTGTATATATCCTATTACCTTTTGCCTCTCTTCCTCCTTACTCTTTTTTTCCCCTACCTACCAAGGGAGTTGTTTAAGTATATCTGATCTATTTTTTTCAACAATGTTCAAAATTTTCAACTTTTTATCTTTTTAATATACCACTTGTTTTGCTGCTCCATTTTCTATTTCCTTATACAGTATTTTTCCGTTATTTTAGCAGCTCCATTTCAATCTCTACCAGTCTCAGTTATTTCTCTTTTTATTTTACATTACATTGTTTCATCTTCCATTTCTTTCAGAATCTATTTTTTTTTTAATTTTTAAAGGATGCGAAGCAGTTTGCCTAACATTTATTTCTGTTTCTTGTAGTCTGCTCCTGCTTTCAACATCTTCAGTGCTATGTCCTGTTTTTGTATTACATTCTGTTTTCAGCACCTCTGTTATTTTGCTCGTCCTCTTATCCCTGGACAAGGATCCTTGTCTCTCTAACCTGGGATGCTTCCCTGATGGATTAGTGGTTTATCTCGGGTTCATCTGACTAGAGCCTACTTCCATCCTCCCCTTAGACTCTAACAGAAGATGTGATACCTGGTCCCATAGCCTGTATCTGGTGATTTTTATCTAAAGTGGATCCGCTGGTCTATGGAGGGATCACTTAATTTGGCTGCCTGGATGGTTGGTTGTCTTATTCTTAGTTAATCTAGCACAGGAAGATGTCCTGTTCCCCACAGCTCTCCCAAACTCAGTCGTTGCGGTGCTGATTTTATATCTCCAGATGCAGACTCCCAATCCTAATGCATTTCCATACCCCGTCCTGCTACATTGCTGAGAATTTTAGGTAGGAAGCATGGGGTTTAGATCAGATGCCCATGTGAGCAGAGCCCTTGTGCAGCAAGAGAGCCTTTTCTCCAGCTGGTCCTTGAAAGCCCTGGTTCCTTCCTGGTGAGTTTAGGGAAATCTCTCAAAATTGTTCAGGATAGCTTAGATATTTTGCTCTCAACTATTTCCATACCTTGTAGTAAAAATTAAATCCTTTTGAAACTAGTGGATAATTGCCTAATGTTTTGGGAGCACTTGAATTTGTAGTAGGTGTGTGTTGCAATGAGAAGGTAGGAAAGGCCTGGTAAATTGTTACTAGCTTCTGTCTCATGGAACCTACAAATGCTCCCTCGCTTGTTTTAAGTGCTCAATATAAGTTTGTTGAATAAGTGAATGAGTGACTTAGTCATCTTTGAGAATTTTAGAAGAACCAGCTGTGCTTAACCATTTATTATTATTATACCTGTTCACCAGTATTATTGTACTAGTTAGGTATTTTGCAAAGTATGTCCTGGGAGTACCAGTTCCATGAAATATTCTGTGAAAAAAGGTTCCATGGCCCTGACAGGCATGCCTTGGTTGGGCATTGTCCTGCAAAGCAAAAGGTTGCTGCTTCGATTCCTGTTCGGAGCACATGCCTGGGTTGCAGGTTTGATCTCCAGTTGGGGTGCATACACAGGGCAACTGAACGATGTTTCTCTCTCTCCCTTCTTCTCTCTCTAAAAATAAATAAATAAATCTTAAAAGAAAAAGGATTCCATAGACAAGTAATTTTGGGAAATGCTGCATAATAAATCTTTCTTATAGAAAAATCAATTAATATGTAAGTATATTAAGGCCTGAAGAAGGCCTTCACCAAGAAAACCTGTTCAACTTTAATTTAGAATTTCCCAAACTAATTTGCTTATAGAAGTCTATTCATATCTCGTAAAGCACATTTTGAGAATGCTCTGCTAATTTTTATAATTTTTCTGTACATCATAGAGTTCAGTATAGACTGTTTCCACAAAGCAAACTTCAAGTTTTTGAATTTCAATTGTCCATTCAATCATCCAAAGAGATGTAAATTATGACTGAATATGATTAGAATGTCTGGATTTGTCAGGAATTGCTAACTCAGGTTTTTTTCATTTGATGCTTTAAATAAGATGTGATCCTGACGACCTTGTAAAAGTATATGTTATTTCAAGCATTAAATTAGTATATTTAAGAAAAGGAGATACTTCCATGTCTCTGGTTCTATTTTACTCGCTTGTTTGTTTTATTGATTAGATTTCTGTTATAGATGAGATCATTAAAAGAAAAGAAAAGGAGATAAATATTACTTGGTGCATTGAGCTGAGGGAGCCCATTACCCCACGATATGGAAGCATTTCTATATTTTCCCAAGTTCGGTAAAAAAAAAAGTTGTCCTTATGATTTTAATATTATGTATTAATCTAGGACATAAACCTATAGCTGTATAGCTTTTCTATCAAAATGGCATAACTCAGTGAAGTAGAAAACCTAATTTTATTTTCCGTTTCGGAGTATCAGATCCTGTGTTGTATTGCTGTTTTATTTTTCTTTAATATCTAACTAAAGCTCAACTCTTCTTTTGACACTTAATCATATGGGATTCGCATGTGCTTTACTAGTTTAATTGCTCACGGACTAGTTAAGAAACCTTTTTTCGGTTTGGTTTTGGCGATTAATGCTTCTGTACTTGCTTTACCACTCCTTTGCATCCAAACACTTTGTTCTCCCCTTGCATCTTTTAATAATTAATTCTGTTTTGTTCTGCTTTGCTTCGTAAGTTTAGAGTTTAATGAATACCAATTTAGGATTTTTAAAAAGAAAAGGTGCATTTTTGACGCTTTTGGGATTGTGGGGGGTGGGGCTCGGAGGGCGGTGATCGGAAGAGACAGCGGTAAATACAGCCCAGTGGTTTTTCATCTAGCCAGGTCTTCCCACTGGCTTACCAAATCTGAAAGAACCGCACATTTGCAGTGGCTTTGTCTAGCAAGTTTTGAATTCCAGTTCTTGAATTTTTTTCTGCATGGAAGTGTCCTGTTCTCATTCATCCTTCTGAGTAAGACCGCTATCTGCAGACCTCTTCTTCTGGTTCCCGAATACATCCTCTTAAAACCCTATCATCCCAAATACTTCTATCCTTTTAGAATTAAAAGGTATGTCTAGAAACATTATTTAAACATATTATTAAAGCAATATGACCAAAAACTACTCTTTTCAAGAGTTGACAAAGAAAACCTGTATAAAAGGTAATTGGGCATTTGTACTATTGTACAAATAGTACAAATAGTATAAATGAAATAGTATAAGTGAAATTCTGACTTTTGTTTTACCTCCAACAGACAAACAACAGAAAGGTGAATTTGCAATAGACGGCTACAATGTCAGAATGAATAACAGCCTTCGGAAGGATGGAAAGAAAGATTGCTGCTTTGAAATCTCGGCTCCCGATAAACGTGTCTATCAGGTTCGCGTTTTTATGTTGTTTTGAAGTTAAGTTGATAAAATATTCTGATCTCATGTATAAAGACATTAACATTTTGTTAAAACAAAAACCTTATATATTAATAATAAAACATACTGGGTTTTATACACTGAACATTTATATAAGAGGTAATACATTTTTTTAAAAAAATTCAGATTAGTTCAAGTGATATCTTCTTGAAAGAGAACAAGTGAATATGTAATTTATCAGTTACTTCATGTTTCATTTTATGTCTATTTTAATAGAACTGTGTGATTTCTTAAAAGAATTACACAGTGGAAAGAGTAAAATTATCAAAAGAAAGATATCAGAGTGTTAATGCATATTGTAGTGCTTAGGTTTGTGGGAGAAAATGAAGGTAAAGGAACGTATCAGTCTGCAATTCAAGAGCTATCAGAGAGCATCAATATGGAATGTATGTTTAATAAGTTTTAAATATCTGAGATTGCAGTTGAAAGCCAGTTAATTAAGTTGTCAGATAGTGTGTTGGAATCTGACAAGAACATTTTTAAGAAAACTGTACGCAGCGGTCTAAAGAAATTCATGGGTGTCTTCTAATTGTCAAGGGCAAATTTTGTTCATCAGTCCTGTCTCTGACATTGATGAAGAGAAGCAGCTTTTTTTTTCCTGCACAGCTGCCAGCTGCTGATCAGAGTTTCAAATCCATCATCCTCTGCTTCAATTACGTAAATTTGTCAAAATTAACTGTACATTATAAGAAGCATCCTTGCAAGAAAAGTAGTACTAGGCATGAGAAGAATAACTAATGGTATTAAAGAAATGATGAGAATGCAACATACCTTTCATTTCTACTGTGGTGATTTTTCTTGTTATTGTTTGTTTTTTTTATTAGTTCACAGCAGCCTCTCCCAAAGATGCCGAAGAATGGGTACAACAGCTGAAATTTGTATTACAAGGTAAAAGCAATCAATTGAGCAAGTTACTGCAGTCTTCAAATACTGAATAACTGAATGATTTGGATTTTCATGTATCAAAAGTTTATTGAATTTCTGTGAGAATGACCAAGGGAATATGACTGGTATTAATACAGACCACTGACTTGAGATTAATAAAAGTATTCTGTAAGTTCCAATTGGCAACTTCACAATTCACATATGTATGCAACAATAATTTTTAAAAATGTTTTAGGTTAAGGATATGGCATATAATGATACTGTGACTTTGTAGAGCTGTGTTAATGTAGAAAATAGGATTTTGAAAATTTGTCGTGTTTTTTACAAATTTACTTCCTGAAATATGTTTTGTAGATATGGGATCTGATATTATTCCTGAGGAGGAGGATGAAAGAGAAGAGTTATATGATGATGTTGATCACCCCTTACCAACCAGCAGTTCACAAACCAGCAGTCAACCAATCGATGATGAAATTTATGAAGAACTTCCAGGTATTTATTATCTGGTGATTCATTTAAGGATTTGGGGACTTTCTTATTTTTAATGTCATCAAATTGACAATTTAAGTAGTAAATGGTGAGCTATTAAGAACAAGGACAAAGAAAATTTTGAAAATTCTATTTTATGAAAAAGGTTCTGCTTGAGGTATTTTGAGTGGATGTACACTTACGAAAAGTGAACGGAATGCTAAAATGAAGCAGATACAGTCCTAATCTCATGGGACTTTTGGCTCATTAGCATTGTTTATGCTACATAATTTTTTAATTAAAAAATTGACTTGCCTTACAGTTTTTTCCACAAACTCACACATCATTTTTTATTTATACATCTTGGAACTTCCATTAACCAGAAGTTCTGTGCATACCCCATATGTCAACAACTTCTGCCTCATATATTCCTCCTTCCTGTAGTGTATGGTATGGTCTTGGAGGAATATTGTTGAACTACAAACAAAGGCCTTTTAAGGCTTGAGTTTCTTACTTATCTGAAATTGTAGCAGTATGAATGTTTTTTTTTATTCTGCGTTTTCAAGCATGGTTTAGTGTTTATATACCTCAGTATCTGTTATGTAACATAAAATTAATGGTTTATTAGCTTATTTCACTTGTGGTTTTGAGGGCCAACCTAAGATAGAAAGATAGGCATCAGAACTTAGGATACTTAGGATATGAAAACATTCAGGGAATTATTGCATTACTCTAGATTAAAATGAGCCTTTTTCTGGCTATTAAAAAGTCAGTAGTTAGAGAATAAAAAGGATTACAAGCAGTATAAGTGAGATTTAACTAACATCCAGAGGGGCTATTTTTCTTTGAATAGAGCAATTTAATGACATAGTGTAAACCTTAAAATTGATTTCAAGAACATGTAAAATGTTACAAATGAATGTACAAATGTCATTTCCAATGAAGTCAGTAGAGCCTAGTAACTAACACGTGGACTTTAGAATCAAAAAGTTTAAATTCTGGCTGTACCATCTAGCTGAGTGACTTTAAAAGTCAATTTCTTCATCTGCAAAATGGGCATAATGTCATGGTGGCGAGGAGAAAGAGCTAATGACTCTAAAGCTCTTAGCCCCAAGCTCGAACCATGGCAAGGCCACAGTAAATCATGCAAGACTATTGCTTTCATTATTCTGGCTGGTAAATTCTTACACGTGTTATGTGAAGTATAATAATAATTTTCTGAATAAGTAAGAATTAATGATTTTAGTGGTATTATACATTCAAGATAGTATAAAAACTACTCAAAATGTGTGTCTACGTATTGTTTTTTACTACTCTAGAAGAAGATGATTAGTATAAAAACATAATTTGTGGGAAACAGTGGAGTGTACATATGTTATGTTAACGAGCTACATGTATATGTTTATAGCTCCTTCCTTTCTGATGTACCCCAAGGAAATGGCATCTGCCATAGTGTCGGTTACCCTCAAGCAAGGAAGAGTGCTCTCCTGACTGCTTGCTTGTAGGCACACCATGTTATTGATACAATTGTTTTAGTTTTAAAATGTTCTTAAGAGCTTGTGAGAATGTATACTGATATAAAATGAAAGAGTATAATGCCTTTAAACATATGAGTGTCATATACATTTCATTCCTTTAAAACCCTGCAATGAATGAGTTACATTACAATTGTTGAATTAACTGTTAATTAAGTTCTGTGTTTCTTCAACTTGATCATTCTCTCCCTGCCCTCCCAGATAAAAGGAATAAAGATCAAATATTCATAGCCATTTTTATAACAAAGACCCAGAGAAAATTTCCTGTGAATAGCTTGAAATCTTAAAAATATGAAACGTCTTTTATTTTCCCTCACTACAGATGTTCTTCCTCATCCCTTTTTTTGGCCTGGGGCCATATGATTGTTGGAAATAACTGCTTACTCTCTAAGTAGCCTTATTCCTTGCTGTGGTACTGGAAGAAATCTAAGCTGCTCTGGGACTGCTTGGCCCCTGCCTGGGACCCCAGTTGTTGTACAAAGTGATTGAGCTTGATAGAGCCTGCAACTGTGCCCCTGGGAAGGAAACTGGTGCAGGCAGCTGTGGAATGTCTAGCTCTTCTTTCTTCCCCAGCGGAGCCAAGGCCCGCTGCAACATCTGCACAGTTCGAGTTTGAGCCAGTTGCTACGGAGGGGGTTTTTCTTCATGAAAGCCCCAAAGTTGTCTCTGAGAGTTAGAGCTTTTGTTTGATTAAGTACCTAAAACTAGAAAGGTAACTTTTTTCCTTAAAAAAAGAAAAGATCCCTCTCCCAGGATAAGAATTAAGCTAGTTGCTTTCACTTCAGTGAAATAGGAATATAATTTTGAGAGGAAGTGAAAACAGTGGAAGAGCAGTGAACACATTTACAAACTGTTGGTGTTTTTCCAGTTCTGTACAAAGAACTGCATTTCTCAGAAATCTGACTGGTTAAATTCCCAGAATTAATAAATATGAGCATTTCAACACAATTTTCTGTCAATTACATATTATTGAAAACTAATCCTCTTAGTTGAGAGATGAAGTATATAAATGTGTTCGAAGAAAACTCGAAGCATTCATCATGTTACTTTAAATCACAAAGTTCTTTTTCTGAGAAAGTAAAGCTCTTGTTCTAGTAATTGCATTTTTTTTAATATAAAATAAACCTGCAGTGTTTAAGTCTCAAGAGTAAGAAGAAGAAGACATTGTTTAAAAAATTGTATTGCAAAATATCCCTTGAAAAACATTTATAATTCTATGGGAGTGTAAGTAGTTTCATTGTAATTGTTTTTCAGTTAGAATATTCTAACTTTATTACAGCGGCTTCTCTTTAATTTCTTGTTCATTAATTTTTAACTAACTTCATAAAAGAGTAAGAATAAATTTGTAAGATTACTGTGCATTTAGGGGATTTATACATATGTACAGAAGAGTAGAGAGAGTGCTGTTTCTGGAGGGTATTAAAAGTATTTGGCTTTTCTTCAAATACCCTATTGCTTTGACACCTTTTATGTCTTAGGACCTATTAGCATCGGCCAAGTCAGTTTTGCTTACATCGTGATGTTACTATAGCATATTTGTGTTTGTAGAGCTAATGTATTGATCAAAGTGCGTTAAACTGTTTCATAACACAGTAATGAGTTCATTTGGCTTAGCATAAATTTCAGAAGTTAGTGCTCATTTTTCCATTAGAAATGCAGAGGAACATTTTTATCTGATTTTGAGTCTTGAAAAAAGAAAACAGTACTTGTGAAGTTGCCGCAGAAATCAACCCCACGTGCTCATCTCTTCTAGCTACCGTGTCACTTGCTTTTTAATTTTTCTTTAATGTCAGGAAATTATGCAGAAGCAACAAAAACAAAAAGATTTCTCTAGATAGAAACTGAATAGAATTAGCCCAGTAACAAGAATGGTAACCACCCATTAGCCTATTAAATCTGTGGCCTTCACAGGAATTGCACTTGAAATTCTTCTGGCAAGTGGACTAGAGGAGAGAGGGCAACGTAAAACAGGAAGACAAATGTTCAATTCCATTAACCTGTTTTTTAAAAGTGTTAATTCATTCCTTTTTTAAAAAAAAATTAATGACTGGTTGAACTATTCTGAGCCAGCAAAGGATGTTTTTGTCCTTTTGTCGTTCCATTTCATTTTAAATTTGTTCAGTCCAACTATCTGTATTGAAGATGGAATATGAAGCAAAATGCAGCTATAATTCTTTTTTTCAGTGAAACTGTTATTTACACATAAAAAAAGAACAGTGTTTGGGTATTTAAATTTGGAGTACCTTCCAGCAAGTGGACGCAAATGCTAACTTCATCAAATCGAAGTGGTCACAACCCCCCAAAATATATTTTGGTTTATTTTCTTGCTGAACAATTATCACTCATATTACCAACTTGGTATCCAGAGTATAGGGATCCGGGAGCCTCTGGTATTAACATCATTATAAGTGATGGTGAGTTCTGGTTTCACCAAAGACTCTCATTCCTTCTTTAGAATGCAGTGGAAAGCTACCGGTTGACTTTCACAGAACTGTATATACTCAGGGTTTTAATATTGTTCGTCCAGGCAGTCTGCTGGTATTCTTCTTTCTTAAACTGCAGTACTGAATAATAAAGTTATTAAGCATGGTGATAATTGTGTTTGAATATATGGTGTGGTAAAATTCTTTCCCAAGCAAATAGCTAGATTAGAGTCAATTTTTTTTGATAGTTTCAGCTCTGAACTCTGCTGAGAGCATTATCTGAAGTTGTAGAATATAAGGAAAACATTCCTAAATTATTTGGGTCACTTGTGCACATCTAGTTGTTTACATTTTTATCTTTGTTGAGTATAATGTGGTTTTAGTGCTCTTCCTAGAGTTGACTGTTTCATCATACCACATGAGGCTTTGGGATACACTTGTGCCTGTCATGGAGCTTTTCTCTGCGTTGCCATTGGCATTACAAATGAATTATTTTCATTACAAAAGATGGTTTAACATGTAGTAGAGCCAAAAATGCCTGTGTGTATGCAAAACATTTCCGTTGGTAGAAAGATGAATCCATTTTTGTAACTTGGGGCTACAGGAGTGGTTTTCAACCAGGGGAGATTTTGGCCCCCAGGGTACATTTAATGATTTAATGCCTGGAGCCATTTTTGTTCCTACAACCAGTGTGTGTGTGTGTTACAGGCACCTAGTGGGTAGGGGCGAGGGGTGCAGCTACTAAACGTCCTTTAACAACATAGACCAGCCTCCCACAACACAGAATTATGTGGCCCAAAATGTCAGTAGTGCTGAGATTGAGAAACCCTGGCACAGGGATGTAATAGACAGCTTTTGCTTTATTACCTTTTTATCTGTATCTCCTGAGTTATAAAAGCCCATAAGCCATACTTTGTATAAGAGTTTATTTTTATGGACACAACATAGGTTTTCTTACATACATAAAACTAGGATTACATAGAATGGTTCTAGGTCATAAGGGACCAACTGGACCTGTCTGTCACTGTTTCCTTTGCTGGTGGGGGTTGAAGTTATGTTAATCAGA